ATCACTTACAAATGGGAAAGGTAGTTTTTCCAATAAATAATGATCAGAAAACTGTATGTGGCCGGGTATAGTGGCACACGTCTTAAATCCCAGCACTTGGGAGGCAGAGGCGGGTGGCTTTTTGTGAGATGATGACCAGCTTGGTCTATTTAGCTTGTTTCTTGCCAGCTGGGGTTTTCAAGGAGACCCTGTCTCAAAAAGATGAAAGAAAGAAAGAGAGACAGAGGGAGGGAGGGAGGGAGGGAGGGAGGGAGGAAGGAAGGAAGGAAGGAAGGAAGGAAAAGAAAGAAAGAAAGAAATGAAAGAAGAACAAGGGAGGAAGGGAGAGACAGAGGGAAGGAAGGAAGGAAGAAAGGCAGGAAGGAAGGAAGGAAGGAAGGAAGGAAGGAAGGAAAAGAAAACTGTATGTGCACATCCAAAAGAATTATCTTGGACCCTGTCTTCCTACCATATACAGAAATTAAGTGGAAAGGGATCAAAGGCCCTAATGTAAGAGCCAAAACAACATTTTTACAAATATTCATGACCTTTGACTGGGCAAGCATTTCTTAAATGATACCAAAAGTCAAATAAAAAAACCAAATACAAAAATGGTAGATAAGAACCTGAGAGCTGGGTCACTGGGTAGAAGCACTCGCTGAACAAGCACGACGACTTGGATCTCCAGAATGCACATAAAAAAGCCAGGTGCTGTGATGCATATCTGAAATCCCAGCACTCTTAGAGTGAGCTGGGAGGCAGAGACAGGAAAATTGCTGGGAAGTCCGTGGGCCAGCTAGCCTAGAATCTTCAGCACAGCAGCAAAAACAATGAGACATTACCTCAACAAGGTGGAAGGCAAGAAACAACTCTTGAAAGCTGTCCTCTAACCTCCACGTCAATAAAAAAATGAATCTAACTTCATCAAAAAATTTTAAATGAATTGGACTTCATCAAAATTAAAAAAAATACATTTCTTTCAAAGGATAGTATGGAAGTTAGGGAGATGCTTTGGAGACTGATTCTCCAAAGTGTCTCTGTTACTAGCTGTGTGAACCATTAGAAACCCTAAGATCTTGTACCCACCGATGATATAAAGTGGAGGTCTTCTGGAGAGGCCAAGTGGCCACAAACTTATAATGTGGTTCCCCATGCCTCCAAACTCAATACTCAGCCAGTGAAGAGCTACCTCTCCAACTCACCATTATGCTCTTCCAAACAGACCCTTTCAAACTGGTGGACTTACTTCACATAAATAATAGTGTGCCCTGGGAAACAGTCAAATCCTGCTTTTCTTCTTTTCATACATGTAGAGCTTTATAAAGTTAACTGAAACCCCCTGAACATGTCCTATTTCTCTCTCTCTCTCTCTCTCTCTCTCTCTCTCTCTCTCTCTCTCTCTCTACCTTTGTAAAGACTTCTCTCTAGGTCTATTTCCCAGCTAACAAGAAGCTTGAGACTAGATAGGCAACATACTTGGCTGCTCACTGTTCCCCAGCTCAGCTTTCAATCTCATTCCTTCTGGACTGATTTTATGTGCCTTCTTTCGGGGATCTAAGAGTGTCTTAATATGGTTCCTATATATACCCTACAGGCACAGTTTTGCACACAACAGTTCAAAAACACCTAGTAATAACCTAATGGTGAACAGTAGAACTCCTGTTTAGATGGAGTGATACATTAAATGCTGTAGATAAATTATTTAATTTGATTCTTAAAACAGTATTCTGTAATGAAGCCCATCACTTTGTATACTAACTGAAATTCACTTTAATGATCTTTTGTTAGTCTCTATCATACAGATAAAGAAACAGGAGCACAGCAATGCCTAGTAACTTTATGAAGAGTTACACAGTAGTAATTGACAGAGCTGAGACTCTAACATATGGGGTTTGGGAGATGGCTCAGTGGGTGAAGTGCTTGCTATGCAAATGTGAGGACCTGAGTTCAGATCCCCAGCATCCACATAAATGCTGAGTGTGGTAGTGTATATCTGTAACCTCAGTGCTGTGTGGGTGAAAGGTTTGCTGACCAGCTAGTCTAGCCAAAACAGTGAGGCACCTTGTACCAAGAAAGAAAGGAAGGAAGGAAGGAAGGAAGGAAGGAAGGAAGGAAGCCCCCCACACACACAAGAAATGGACAAGATGATTCTAAAACTCATCTGTACAAGCAGGGGATCTAGAATATGCCAAAATAGTTTTGGAAACCTGGAGAGTGATAGAGACATTCAGCATTGACTTCTGGCCTCCACATGTGTCCACACAGCTCAGTACACATATATCACAAACGCACACTATACACACACATACAAAAAAAACAGAAAAAAGAGTCTAACACATATGTAAGAAGTTACAGGGGCATATGACTAATCTCAGTGTCAGATATTCCTTTATTTCAATGCTCTATCATGTTCAGGTCAGCCTGAATTATTAAAAAGAGATAAAAATATCCCCAACGGCTTTTAAAGAAAACAGAAAATGATAATCTTTTTTTAGTAAGATTTCTACCCAAAGTCCATAAAACATTTTTTGGAGAAAACTATTTTAAGCATTTGTGCTTAAAGGAATAAACTTTAGTTATCAGAAAGATTCCCAACAGCGCCAGCATCACGAGGTGTTTCTGCATCATCTAGTATTCTAAGATCCACAAAGAAGCACAGTACATCTTCTGGCGACTTCAGCACAGAAATCACTGGCAACTTCACTGTGTTTTTATTTGAAAAATTAAATAAGAAAATGTCATGATCTGTTCCACAATAGACAGCATTCTCTAAGGAATATCAAGTGCTCTGAATCCATGTGGACCATGGAGAGAGAGAGAAAGAGAGAGAGAGAGAGAGAGAGAGAGAGAGAGAGAATAAAATAAATCCACCTAAGGAAGGCTACTCAATCTCTGGGCAACAACAAGGAAGAGACTGGAATCAGATACTCTGAAACAGTTGTAGCTTCATACTAGGGCTGGCTTTAAGAATTGTTTTTTTGAGACAGTCTCCCTGTAGCCCCAGCTGGCCTGAATCTCACAGAGATTTACCAACCTCTGCCTACTGAGTGCTGGGATTAAAGGTGTGCACCACCATGCAGGGCATTAAGATAATTTTTGAAGGAAGCAAAGTTATCTGGGGCAACACTAGTAGGACAGCTAGTAATGGTAAATAACAATAAGAAAGACTGACACTCAAATAATACTATATTCTGAGGGGTTTGCAAGTATGAATTCATTGAAATTGTACAGCAATTGCAGGGGATAGGTGGCACTATTATTCCTAGTTTACAGGAAAGACCAAGGTGTGGAAGTGTAGATGAATCAGGTACTTGAAGGTCACAAAGCCACTAGTAAACAGGAACTGAGATGTAAGCTCAAGAAGCCTAACAACAGACTCCATGCTCAAAGCACTAACTGTGCACAGATAATGCTTGTTTTACTAATTCAGGGTACATATGACCCTGGCCCTGAGCTGACAATAAGTACACAGATTATCTGTTTTATCTTAGAAGGTTGACTCTTAAGCTTATATAATGAGGCAGTATCTCATTTGATCCCGAAACAGCCCCACGAGGTAGCTCTTATTGTGTCCATTTCAGACAGAAGTGGTGCAAGAGGGCAGAGGGCGTGGCTCCTTGCTAGCACACACAAGAGGAGGATCTGGCTTCCCTGCACCATAGAAACAATACTGAAGCACAAAAAAAGTAACTTGACACATAGACAGATGTACTGGCCTCTTTTTCAGTAACACCATTTCTACACACTGTAGGGTCTCACATAATGTAAGTAATGCAACATCCTTTAATATATTTTTCTTTTGTTTGAGGTGCTGGAGATTAAATTCAGGGCCTTGTGCATTAAGCATGTATTGTACCATTAAGCTGCATCTCCAGCACTGCAATGAACCTTAAGTACAATTTTGACCTGAAATCCAGGTTCTCTCAGTTTTCCAAGGCCTCTGTTCTGAAGTGTTAATGAGAGATAAAAAGGCTGGTCTCTTTTTAAGTTTTCTTTGTTGGTTTGTTGGCTTTGGTTCTGGTGTTTTGTTTGGCGGGTTGTTTTTTTTTCAGGAGGGGGTGTTTTGTTTTGTTTTGCTTTCCTTTTGTTTTGCTTTTGTAACTCTCGGTATTTGCAGAGACCCTCTGCAGCAGCCAGTGGGTCACTTCTGTTTCCCCTTAGTAAGGAAGCACACCCACAGAAGGTCTGTCACCAGGAGCCTGTTTTCTGGATTTAGATGCTGCATTTAAAAGACACCATTTCTGAGTTTTTATTTTGTTTTCTTATCTTTTTGTTTTTCCATTCTAATTTTATCTTATTCTTTCATTTTTCTCTTTTTCTTTCTTTATTTTTTCCTCTTGAGAATGGCTCTCCTTCTCGTAGCACAAGCTGGCCCCAAAGTTACTGCATAGCTAAGGATGACCTTGAAGTTCTGATCCTCCTGCTTCCACCTCCTAGGTACTGTGGATTAGAGGGGTATGCCACCGTGCCCAGCTAATGATTCTGTTTTGTTTAGAATTGGCTTCTAGAAAAGATACATACTAATCCTTCACCGCTGGGGACCACTAATCTCAACTCTGGTTTCTCTAAAGTGCCACCCCTATTTACCTTAGTGACCAAGGGCAGCAAAGATCGATTAAGCACCTTTTTTTTTTTTTTAAGACAGAGACTCCCTATAGCCTCAGATGACCTGGAACTAGCTATGTAGATAAGGCTGGCCTCAATCTTATCAAGAACACCTGCCTCTGCCTGCAATGTGCTGGGATTAAGGCTGAGTGCCACCATGCCCAAAGCCAATCAAGTAATTTTTTTTTTTTGGTCTTTTTGAGACAAGGTCTCCCTGTAGCTCCAGCTGTCCTAGAACTCACTATGTAGACCAGGCTGGCCTTGAACTCACAGAGATCCGCCTGCCTCTGCCTCCGGAGTGCTGGGATTAAAGGCATGCGCCACCACGCCCACCTCAATCAAGTACTTTTACTGCTGTCTTTTATTAGCAGAGCATAAAATAATGGCAAAATGAAAGGCAAGGCGGGTAAGCTTACTTCCACTTGAAGGGCAGCACATCCTTTCAGGAAGTCATTGATGTTGCTGATACAGTTGGCTTCAGTTTGGGGCTCCAGACAATACTAGAAAAACAGTCAAATGTCAATTGGAGATTGCCAGTCCAAGACAAACAAGCCATCATCATCATTTGCTGATAACTAGATAAGGTAGGCTTTTTAAGGCAGAGGACAGCCCTGCTCTCCATCCAGGAAGAGAACTAACCACTGAAGGAAGTGATGCAAATGTCTAAACGGTTGGTTTTGTTTCAATGTCACCAAGCTGTTTCTACTTACAAATATTTTTTTCATGCCTTCAGCCCAAGTGTGGGGATAGCAGATCAGAGAGATTAAGACAGTTTTTTGTTTGGTCCATGCTTTCAAGCAAGAACACTACACTTATTGCTTCCCACTTCCCCTTCATGATTGTTTGTTGATATTCTACTTCACTTGGCCGAGCTCAACACTTATCATATCTCTCTGTGTCTAATCACTTGTTTCTTAAGTTTAAAAAATTGTAAGTAAATCTTATTCAGTAAAAATAGAAACTGATTCAAGAAGGCAGAAAGCCCTACTCACAGTCACATTCCGAAATGACCTCAAGAGAAGAATCATAGAACTCTACTAAGCTTACATAAGTGCCTACTTTAAGCATCATTCTAAATGACTCTCCATTGTTCATCCACTCTCATCAACATGGATTTCCAACATAAAAAATCTTGGACTTTTTTCAGACAAAGCTTAGTTTCACTTTGGATGCCCATTGCGTTCAACACATACGCTTGGCTTCTCTTTGGTTTTCATAAGTTTTATGTGACATTTTTAGATTATTTCTCTTACTAACTGAATATAATTCTTCAGTGGATTCTTTTTTAAAAAGGAAATTTACATAAATTTTTAGACAAACTGTCAATAAACATCAAGATCATTCCATTACTCCACAGACTTATGTACCCCAAGTTCAAAACATGTCAGTGTACAGGAAAGTGTAGAATGCATCTCCATGACAAAGCAAACTCCCAAAAGGGATGTACTCCCATCCCTGATTGCCAGTAGTATAACAAGTTTTTGCTAGACTGACCTTTGGGGGCCAATTAATGAAGGCTAACATTTCATTTTCTGATTTTTTTTCAAAATACAAAGACAATAAGAAAAAATGCCTAATTTAGAAAGATATTAAGGCAGAGGATTCCCATGACTAGGGCAACAGAAAAATCTCAAGATTTATATTATTGCTGCTCTGTGGTAGTAAGCAATCCCAAAGACACTGCATAATGACCTTACCTTCTCCACTGAGCCAGGAACGAGTCTGTTGATCAGTTTGCACAGTACTACCCCATTTCTCAGCGAGGACTTCAAGAATTCCTCCGGATCACAGATGGTCTTTTTGGGGGAATCTAAAACTCCCAAAGATATAAGCCATGTCACGACTCGCTCTTCTGGGTTCATTACTGAGGATCTTACACACTGAACAGCTCTAGCTCTCCGGGGCAGCTGCGAGGACTAAGCCACATCCGTGATTGCATCTGCTGCTGTCTTCCTTTTTATGAGTTCTCTTCTGGTGCTCGCAGGGCAAAGGTTTAAAGCAACTTTTCTTAGACAACAGTGGAGCATGGGATTTGTAAACCACAGAGATCACATTCAAAGATATGGAAAGGGATTGTAATGAATGTAAAAAATCCTGGATAACACTTAGTTGTTCTTTTTCCAAAAGCTAGAAAACTATGTCATGAGGATTTTTTTTTTTAGTACGAGGAACACAGACACACACACACACACACACACACACACACACACACAACAGTGCAAGAGCTGTAAGGAAAGGAAGTGAGGAGGATGCTGGAGAAGGAGGAACATAAGCAACTATGTGTGGAAATCAGAGTGAGCCAGCATTTCAGGGAACCTTGGAAATGAGATACACATGGAGCCGACTGGGAAAACACTGTCAATGCAGTCTAGCCCCGGTGAAAAATCTGGCTTCTGTCAGGAGGAAGATGCCAACTGGCTCTTAGGTCAGATAGATCTGAGCCTTGTGGGGTGCTGTACTGATACAACAGAGCTCAAAGAGTTTGGTGGGGTGAGAAAATTTCTCCCAGAAATGGCCAGATTTCCTTAGTCTTAAGTAGATAGTGTGTGTCACGATCATTCCTTACAAAACCTGTTGAGTTTCACGGTGACAACATGCAAAGCAAGTGAAGATTGTCCCTGCTGTCAGCCATCGCTGTGTATAAGCAGAAGCTGGAAGAATGGCATTTTACTTTGCAGCCAAAAATCTATGTTTAGGGAAATAGGCTAAGGATAACATCTGACATCCTGTTTACTTGCATTCTTTAGCAATTCTTTTTCTGGACCTGGTTCCACTACACAGTCCAGCTGCAGTATCCTTAGCAAAGGCTCAGACACAGTCACAGAAAATGGGGGAAATATACTTGGAGACAGAGCACTTGAGAACAAAAGAGCACTTGTCTTCTCTGTCTACATTACAGACTAGAAGGTTCATGTTTCCCTATCAAAAAAGGCTCTGCATTCAAAATGTTGATCTGAAAAACAGTAGTCTATACCAAGAGAGGTCAGTTATTCTCAAACATTTTCAGCACTAGTTAAAATAATCATCCTATGGAGAAATTTATAAGGCCAAGTTTAATAGCATAGTTCTATGCAGGGCGTTCGGCATCACTACCTCTCCTCATGCGTAGGAAGCCATCTAGTCAACCATAGCTATTTCCTGCTTAGCCTCACAATCCTCTCCTCCTCCTCTTCTGGTCTCTGCAGGCATTGCATGAACATGGTGCACCTACATACATGCAGGAAAATACTCATACACATAAAATAAGTGTTAAAGAAAAGATTGACATAGGCCACATGAGTGTTGGTACTCAAGGGCCCCTTATTATTGGACATCATCAAGAGGTCACTAAGAGGAATAATGTATTTCTATTGTTTAAAGCAGATACATGGGGCTTGAGAGATGGCTCAGAGGTTTAGAGAACTGGCTGCTCTTGCAGAGGACTCAGGTTCAATGCCCAGCACTCACATGGCAGCTAACAACCATCTGTAACTCCAGTTCCAGCCAGTTCCAGGGACTCTGACGCCCTCTTCTGACCTCCGTGGGCATTGTATGACATGGGTGCACCTACCTACATGCAGGCAGTATACTCATACACATAAAATAAAAATAGTAAATTAAAATATATATATATATAAACCAGATATACATGCAGCCTAATGTGGGGGAAAGAGTGTTACAGGTTGCTAAATGCATTGTTAGGAGAGGAGCATATGCATAGCCCAGGCCAAGTGGAGTCCCAGTTTGCTAAGCTATTCCCTATGCTTTCCTGCCTCATTATTTTCTTGGCGTGGCTTCTTAACGCCATCATTTTGAGATTCATCCATGTTCTTGTGTCTATCTATAGTTCTATAAGAAGAATTTGACCTCCATATGTTTGGCTTGATGTATTTATAAGTAAAATAAATATAGTCAACCAAAATTTTAATTGGCTTTGACCCATGACCAAATCAATGTAATGGAAATAAACCGAGAATCTTTTTGTTGGTAAATTAAATTCCCTAATATGACCTACTTATACATATTTTTACATCATTTAGACGATTTTCACAGTTACTCATCCGAATTTTACTCTATAAGGAAACAAAATCTGGCAGTATTATTGAGGTATCACTTTCATTTGCAGTAAAGAACAAAGCCTGGTTCATTTCAGGAACACAGCCTAGGCCAAAATAGGCTTGTGTCCACTGTCACTTAGATTAAAACCTGCCTCATTTTGTTTTTGTTTGTTTGGTTGGTTGGTTGGTTGGTTTGGTTTGGCTTAGATTGATTTGTTTTTTTGTTTCTGTTTTTGTTTTTGAGACAAAGATTCATTGTGTAGTCATGGCTGGCCTGGAACTCACTAATATAGATGGGGATGGCCTCAAAGTCCTAATGATCTTTCTACCTCAGCCTCCCTAGTGCAAGATTATAGTTGTGCCTCATCATTCCCAGCTTTCTGCGGATTATCATAAGCAGTGAAGGAAACCCATAGAGGCAAAACCACCATGTCAAGGCAAAATAAATAGCTCTGTTAACATGTAGATTTGACAGTTAGACTTGTTACAGTATTATGTTAGGAAAGTGAAGAATTCCAGGGCACTGGCAAGCATCTAGGCGAAATGACTAACCACGGAACCCAGGCTGGCTTGTGAAGCAGCTGAAAACAAGAAAAGAGCTGCTGAACTGAGAAATAAGGTGAGGCAAACACACAATGAGCAAAGCAGCCTTCCCCAAAGGGCACAAGGTAAAGAAGAACAAAAAGCTAGCACCTCTCAGTCTGCGGCACTGAACCCACCTGCTGAAGGTGTTGCCCACCACCTCCTCTCATCCTAATGAATACTTCAGAAGACGAGACTTAGCTTGTTTTTTTAAAAGCACTTGTAGTGTTAATAACCCTGCTAAAAAAAAAAAAACCTCAAAGGAGCTGGACATGGTGGCACATGCTTGTAATCCCAGCACTTGAGAATTGAAGGTACAGGGTGCAGATGAGGAGTTCAAAGTCATCTTTGGATGCATAGCATGGTTGAGGCCAGCATGGGTTATGTGAACCCTGTCTTTAAAAACAACAACAAAAGGATAAACCCCTTCAAAGGCTTTGATTGCCCAAAGCAGGGATTGAAAAACAAGAATGTGTATCATGGTAACCTCCTGGTTGCAACAGAGAAAAAGGAATGAGAAAGTGGAATTTCAGCTAAAATAGGTAGCATTTTATTAAAAATCAAAAGATCTACAAGAAGTGAGGCATTTTGAACATTTGTTAAAGCTGGCTGCTGGGTAAACTGGGACCTGTCATACTATTTTCTCTGCTTTTATGTGTTTGCGATACTCACATATGATTTATTATTTTAATTTCAAATCTGCTACAGCACTTCTTAAAAAGAAGATCTGGTGGAACTATTCCCAGATATTCTAGTTCAGAAGATCTGCAGTGGGATCCTCCACTTGACTTGAATGCAAATAGACCAAGGTTACACTTGAAGAAATAGCTTGGTTTCTAATCTTCTACTCCACTCCAGCCCCTGGCAAAATTTGGTTGATTTAAATATCCACCAGAACAACAATTCAACATCATGTCTACTCAGTCCTCTGACCTCCTAGGACTGTAACTGATGCATTACCTCTCAGATTGCCGTTATGCCTGTTCTCTGAAAATGGACTTGGGTCTTTGAAATAATTTTTGCTTTGCCACCTGGCACAGCACAACATCAAGTTTTATCAGTAAGGGATGGGGCAGAAAACATTGCAGGAAGCCAGGCTTTTACTTCCTGTTTCCTGTGCGCTCATGCTACAGGCTCTTGCTGAGCCCTCAGCTTTCTTCATGCCTACCTTCTGTAGCTCTGGTTTCTCTGATGTACAGTAGGCATCAGTTTTCCTTGACATTACCCTGAGTGGTTCTGTTGCAAAGTGACTCTGGTAAGACACCTCCCATGTGAACTAGTACCCCAAAGGAGTACATATTCAGGACATTGCAGAGGCCAGATGTCCACCAAGTTCCAATAACTCAGTATGGTACAATGTCTCCAACAAGGCCTAGATCTTAGCCATCGATGGAAAGGAGGGTATCACAGTTCTAGGAGCATTAGGTATGGCACATTATTTTTATGGTGCCTACGACTCTATACCATATCTGCTAGTGCTATATTAGTTTAGTTTCCTTTACCTCTTTTTTCTACATTATATAAATTTTATTTTGTTTAGCCAGTCCTTCAACACTTCAGTCTTCTATTACTGTTCTTTTTGGTTATGTTGTTGTTGTTTGTTGTTACTGTTGTTTTAGATAAAGTCTCATTCCGTAGCCCAGGCTAGCTGCAAATTCACTACGTTGCCAGACTGGCCTCAAACACAAAGTAATCTTCTTGTGTCCTGAGTGTTGGGTTCATAGGGGATGCTACCATATCTACCTTTAGTTTATCTTTGTTTTGTTTTTGTTTTGAGGCAAGACCTAATATAGCATAGGCTGGACCTGAACTCTACCTCCTGAGTGCTGAAATTGAAGATGTGCACCACCACACGTGGCTGTTGGCTTTTAATGTTTTGTGTGTGAGGGTATACATGCGTATGCACATGGGTGGACAGGTACACATACCTGTGTATGCACTTGTAGAGACCAGAGGTTGACTTTAAGTATCTTCCTCTATTGCTCTCCACATTATATTTTGAGACAAGATTGCTTACTGAAACTGGAGCTCCTTATTGTGGTTTGACTAGCCAGCCAGTGAGCCCCCAGAATGTGCCTGCCTCTGCTCCCCCAGACATGGGGTTATAGACATACACTATCATCCCTAGCTTTACATTCTGGGAATCTGAATTCAGGTCCTCATGTTTGCACAGCAAGCACTTTACCCACTCAGCCCTGTTTGCTGTTAATTCTTTGTTAAACTTTTACTTTTCAAATTACTGAGAAGTTTCTCCATCCTGATTGAACATAAACTGATACACTCTTTTTTCAAACAACACTTCCTCTCCACTTTAGCAAACCAATTGCAAAGTTACACCCTGTAAT